GTTTTTTTTGTTCTAAGAAACTAATTTATGGATAAATCTTAAAATTCACCAAATGGTGGAGCAGAGTTCTGCAAGCTGCCAAGACAACATTAAAAAAGTAGATAGAAACAGTGGCCCAAAGTAGAAAGCAAAAAATCCACAGTTTGAATAACTCTTTGCTATATCCTCCATTAATGTAAATATTGGACCTAAAGTTTGGTGATAGCCTTGAATTCCCACAACACATGCATTGTGTCAGATGCTGGTTTGAATTACTCAAAATTAATTTTTAATTGAAGTCTAAGTTAACTTGGTGGGGGGAGCTTCTATGTGTTTTTAATTACACAAAATTAATTTTTAATTTAAGATTGTAACTTAGCAATGGGGGAGTTATCTTGTACGTACCTGTATTTAATTACACTAAATTAATTTTTAATTTAGTACCAGTGGTCAGTGGGTTATACTGTAAAACTGTCTTGACTGTCTCATTTTAGACGAAGGCGTTTCTCGTTCAATATTTTGTGGCACATCACGGCGACTTTCAAATTTGACAAAATGCGTACATCTGACGTGGACATGCTGAGATTGACTTTTCCAGGACACACTGAACATTGCATTAAATCAACTACAACTGATCGAAAATGCTTAGCTCTTCCGATTGTCACTGAGTTTAAGAAAGACATATAGAAGGTGCATCAGATCAGGGCTGGGTGGAGAGGTGATTGGACAAGTGATCGGGTAGGAAAATTCTTTTTTTCACTTAACCATTTCAGTGAGGAGTTGTGTGTGACTAAAACACAGACAGGCAATTCAACACCTAATCATACTCGTTTCCAAGTTCTGCACAATTTCCTGTTCAAAACAGAAAGTTAGGTTCTTGAATTAGGCACAAGGATCTTAATTGCCGCAATCCTGATCATATTCAAAATTCAGATGAAATATGTCCATAGTTGTAAATTTAATAGTTACTCTCCAGTGGCAAAAGCATAAAATGCGAGGTGTTTAAAGTGTAATTTCACACCAAGATACGTATTATAACAGAAATCCTCCAAAGTGGGTTAATGGGTTTGAGTAACAATGTGTAGTAGCACAGAAAGTTTCATTATTTATGGCAGAAGGGGTTAGATATTGCTTCATTGAAACGTAAGTGAATCCAGTGCGCTATATAAATAACAGCTTGTATTTATGCACCAACTTTAACATAAGAAAATGTCTACAGACATGTTACACAGGCACAACTGAAATTGGAATATGGATGTAAGATCAAAGCAGCAAATGTCAGAAGGGATCGCAAAAGCCTGGTCCGATTTCCACGAGGGTGTTCAAGAAGAGTGGAAAGCCGGAAAGAATAAAACAATTTTAGAAAGCAAATTCTAAAGTGGGCCCTTGAAAACTGAAAATAGAAATGTCAACTAATGAAATGAATGCAGAGTTGAGGAAGAAGGGTGATGGGGCTGCAGTTTGTACAGAGAGGGGACAAGTGGCATCATTAAGGAATTTAAAACAGAAGAATAAGAATTTTAATTTGGGGGGCCGGGGTCAAGGTATATACAGTGGAATTTTGATTGAGCCACAGTTTATCAAGGATGCAAATTTAGCCCAAGAAGTATTAGAATTAAAAAACTGAAATGCTGGAAAATAACTCCAGACAGCATCTGTGCAGAGAAAAGGACAGAGTTAGGTTTCACGGACGTGACCTTTCATCAGAACTGGGGAAATGGTAGTGAAGTAATAAGTTTTGAGCAAGGGCATGTGTGACAGGGAAAACAGGAGAGCAAAAGATAAAGAGTGAAGAGAATGCATGCACGTGAGAGAGACAGCGCATGAGAGAATGACAAAATATAGTCCATTAGGCCCAAAGGGATTGATAATGAGGCCCACCAGGGTATAGAGTTCTCAGCAGTAAGAGTTGGGGCAGGCAACTTCAAGGGCAGTTAACTCTCCATCCTCAGTAGTGAGAAGGTTCATTGTATCAAGTAGGTACTTACGTGCTATCCAGGAAATTTCTCGCCTGGTCAGGAGCCCTGACACTGACCATCTGCCCTGCCTGAAGCTGCCAGTGAATCAGAAGCTGGAAGCTACAGGGAGCTGAGGAATGTCCTGCCCTGCCTAGTCTGGGCAACCATAAAGAGCTGGACCAGCAAGCAATTAAGAGTTGATTTTTTGGCCTGTGGAGGTCAGAGGCAAGGGCATGTCAGTGGCTTTCAGATGTTACTCATTTTCCTTCAGCTCCCACACCTCTCGATTGCAACTGGTGAAAGGCAAGTCACTCTAGTTTGCCTGTTGGGAAAGCTGCCATTTTTTTTTGCCTGCTGGAAGGGCAAGTACAAGGACAGGGGCAGGTTAAGGCTCTTAGGTGGCCAGTAATTGACCACTTACGGGTCTTAATTGGTGGCAAGTTGTCTAAGTCACCAGTGGACCTTCTCACCCAGAACTTAATTGCTGAGGTGACTGGAAGGGGTCAAGTATCTCTCTGGGGCGAATCCACTCAATTATTTGATCCTTCTCACTGTTGTATAAACATACGATGCCAACCAGCACCAATATGATTTCTGACTGATCTGCAGGATGTATTTGGTCTAAAGCAGTAAAAGGAAAAACATGAGGTAGTCTAATGAGAAACAAAAATAAGAGATTGCTGGAAATGCTCAGCAGGTCTGGCAGCATCTGTGCAAAGAAATTAGAGTTAATGTTTTGGATCGAGTGACCCCTCCTCAGAACATATCTAATGAGAAGCTGCTGTTAGAAACAAGATGTAGTTTATTGCACACCAGCAATGAGGTACACGTTACATTGGCATGGTCCTCATTGCTACCATAGCAATTGGGAGACCTTGGATAACAGGTCTGTCTCATTCTAGATCAAGATGTTCTGTCTTTCCCTACCTGTCCTTACAACACAATCGGATTGGACAGAAACTAATACAACCTTCAGCATTAACCCTTTCAATACCATCACCTTACACAACATCTGCCACAGTCCTCATCTCTTCAAGCATTTTGGGGAAGGGGGGCTGGTGGGTGGGGGTTGGGTTGGTGCGGAATGAACTAAATTAAACAAAAAGATTAAAAACCAAAAGAACCGCAGATGCTGTAAATCTGGAACAATGACAAAGTTGCTGGAAAAGCTCAGCAGGTCTGGCAGCATCTGTGAAGGATAAAACAGAGTTAACGTTTCGGGTCCGGTGTTCTGAGGAAGGGTGACCGGACCCGAAACATTAGCTCTGTTTTTTCCCTTCAATGATGCTGTCAGACCTGCTGAGCTTTTCCAGCAACTTTGTTTTTGTAAACAAAAAGATTTGCTAAAATATGGAGAATTGGAACATGGAGGTTCACTATATACTCCAGGAAGAATATCTCATCTTTCAACTAAGCATTTTACAGTCTTTTGGACTCCATATGGAGTTCAACAATTGTAGCCATTTAACTACTGCCCTATTTTATTTACATTTCGTAGCTTATTTCAGGCCTTTTTTTAAAAAAAAGGAAAACTATCATTCAGCAACACATCTACTCCCAGAACATCTGTTTCTTTTACCTCCCATTATTTTTCCTTTTGCCCCGGTGGAAGGAATTTTGTCATTTACACTTCCCTCGATGCTACCTAACCAGAGTTATTTTCCACCATTTCTTGTGTTGATTTCAAATTTTCAGCATCTGCAGTATTCTGCTTTTCAGAACGTATTAGATTAGTCAAGCGTGGAAATAGTCAGAACTCCCAGGACGCCAGGTTATAGTCCAACAGGTTTATTTGAAATTGCGAGCTTTCGGAGCACTGCTCCTTTGTCAGGTGAAGTCACTTCATCTCTGTAGCTCCTTTGTCAGGTGAAGTCACTTCATCTCTGTAGCATTCAGAAAGCTTGTGTGTTTTCAAATAAACCTGTTGGACTATAACCTGGTGTCCTGTGAGTTCTGACTCTGTCCACCCCAGGCCAACATGAGCGCCACATCAAAGCTTGAAAATGACATACAAAGTCATGCTTTAGCAACCAAAAGTACATCTCAAATGTGACAATGAAGATCAACAAGCCATTTGTCATTGGGGGAAAGCAGCCATTGGATTTTTCTTTTTCTCCCCAGCGTGACCATCAGTGACTGCATGGGCAGTGAAGCAATGGAAGTCAATATCACTTCTCCATTTTCTGTACTTTGATAGTAAACCCTCATATTTGAATTCTTTTAACTTTGGAAACAGCTGCATTCTGAAGTGGGACTTCAACACTGCACTGAACAGTTGCAGGTTGGTACTGGTGGACAATTTCAATGTGTCCAAAATCTCATGCTTTAATTCCTTGGGATCATACGTGCATTCTGCATCAGTAAACAGAGGAAATCTGAGCATCACTGGATGAAAACAATCTAACATTGCTAAGAAATTGGTTAAAATTCAAAACCAGACCATTCAGCACAACAGGAACACTCCACTGCTCATGCTTCATGACCTTCCTCCAGCAATATCACTATAACTTTGTATTCCATTCTCCCTTGTGATTGTCAAGTGTCCCATCAAATATCTCTGATCTTTGCCTTAACTACACAGTGTACGAGTCCCACATTCTAACAATTCTCTACATGGAGATTCTTTTTCATGAATATCTTACTACATTTATTTGTGATGTTCTTCCGCTTAAGATCCCTAATTGCGATCTATCCGCAAGTGAAAGCATCTCCACTGTAGACTTCATCCCTCTCGCTGACCATGAGGCAGAAACATACCTTGGTATATCTTCCCAAGCAGAACTTGCAACCCCATGTCCTCTCAATCACCATGAAGAGGATCTTTATCAATTCATCCTTCCCATTTCAAATATCCTCCAGATCCATAACCATCCAAGATTTCAGCATGCTCCAATTCTATTCGGTTGCACATCTTCAGTTTTCTTTGCTCCATTGGTAGCAAGCTCTGAAATTGCCTCTCTAAACTACACCCATCTCACTTCAAATGTTCTTTAAAAATTGCTCTCTCTAAAAATTGACCCTGATTTCTCATGTAACTGTCAAATTATTTTCTGATTGCTCCAGTGAATCGCAAGTTGTGATGTTATGGAATAGACAGAGTACTGGCACGAAGTTCAACAAAGTTCCGAGTTTGACATGGCATGTGATTCTCAGTGCTCTATGGTATGTAGACAAATGCTCTGTTGAAATAAAAATTTCAGATTCTTCTAATCAGTCACTGAGCAAAACCCAACGGATTCCACCAGAAAATGGGGTGGAAAGGTTCAGGCTGCAATGAATATTTGTCCAAAAATCCCAAGAAAAGTTGTATTTAACCCATTTGAGGGGACTTCTGTAGATTTTTGTGAAATTATTGGGAATTCATTAAAATTCACAGTCCTCCCAAGTTTCAGATAGAACTGAACATTCCCTGTTTCTGGATGTATAAATTCAAAAATGTAAAAGGAAATTTAAAGGAATCAGAATGAAGTTATTAAACCTATCGGAAAGCCAAGCATCACCAAAATCATAGATTTCAGCATTGCAATTATAAAGATTTAGAATCATAGAATCTCTACAGTGCAGATAGAGGCCATTCAGACCTTCAAGTCTGCCTCTGATTCCCCATAGTTCCACAATTACCACAGCTAATCTACCTAGTCTACACATTCCCGGCACTACTTGGAAATTTAGCATGGCCAATCCACCTAACCTGCATATCTGTGGACTACATCCGGAGGAAACCATGCAGACATGGGGAAAATGTGCGAATTCCACACAGTCACCCGAAGGAGGTATTTAGCTTTGGTCGAAACAATTTAAAAGCTTAAGACAGGCGATTTCACTTTGGGAAAGGAACACTGTAATCCTACGTAGCTTGACAGGACAGATGCCAAGACAATTTGAGGAATCAAAACTGGGTTGAGTCTCAGGTTGAGGAGTCAGCCATTTAGAGATGTGGAAAAAAAGTCTTCACTCAAAAGGACATTAACTTTAAGTTCTCTATCCCCCAGACAACTATGGATGCTCAGTTGTTAAATATATTCAATGTAGAGGTCATAGATATTTTGGTAGAAATGGAATTTAAAGAGTGAGGATTGTGCATAAAATTGAGTTGAAGTAGATTTTCAGCTATTTATTTAACATTATAGCAAGTTAGAAGGGCTGAATGGCCTACTCCTTTTTCCCATGTATTTGGTGAGTCTTATACTGTATACCATAGCTGAATTAAGATTGCAACGGTAATCTTTAAATTCACTATGTGACAGCAGTATAGACACAAAAGGAATCTTAACCCAACATCAGAGATACTGGACAGGATACCAGGACGACTCCCAGCTCCCCTCCAAACAGTATAATGGGACTGAAAGCTGGTCAAATGTTGAATTAGTCAAAGGCAGACTCGTTCAGACCAGCCAACCACAGAGAATATTGAAAAAGGAAAACAAACCAAAGGGTGAACTGGCTGTGATAGGGCTTTGGAAGCCACCAGACTGGGAAGCTAGTTTTGGCTTTGCTTTCTTATTTTCCTGTTATCAACTTGTTGAAAGTTCTGAGTAAAGAACCACACAGTCTGTAAGACATAAGTTAAAAAACTCTCCTGAGATGTGCAATCTGCATTGACTGGGAACTTCAGAATGTAACATATACAATCCTAATGCCTATGATATAATCCATCATCCAATGATTTCATAAAGACCTGGTATTCATCATTGAAATAGTTATCAAACTGGCAAATTATGTTTCTTTTATATTCTTTTTATATTTAATCCCTTAACAGTGTTCTATCTGTGTCAGATTGGGTGTTTTATGATCAAAGAAATTGGGCCAAAATTATAGATGTTAATTAAACTGCTTTGCTGTTCATCTGTATTCTGCTAAAGTTATAATAATCTTATAATATTTTAATAAATTGTTAATTTTTTGTTTACATTATAAAGCTGGTGTCCAATATTTGTTACTTGGAAAGTCTGGTCAGAAACAATTAAGCAATGTTTAGGGTCAGTGAATCTTTTAAGTTGAATATTGTGAATCTAGTGATAGTGAAGCTAGCTTGGTTTGCTATCCCTGTGTTGCAACAAACTGCATACCTATAAGTAAATGGATGTTGATGCTATCAAGCAACAGGATACAAAGGAAGGAATGACCTGGAATTGTTTGGTCACCAAATCAATTTCACTGAACATAAGGGCTTGAGAAAGGCAATATCCATGCTGCGTCAAGAAACTGAACTATATTCGCTGCCAAGTTTACTACAAACCAAGCAGATGATAAGATTGATTACTATGAGCGATCTTTATTTGTGCTTTCACATCAAAAAGGAGGGAATAGGAATTGTACAATGGAAGAAACTCAAAGGAACGCATAGGTGAACAGTTTGTTAATTAGGTAGCACAAGGGAATAGATATAGACACTTGGTAGAGCGAACTCAGAAGTTCATTAGAAATTGACCAGTTAGACCGGTTTACAGCTGATATTATCAAGTATATTATCAAACATTTAAAATGGAAAAAGGAGGCAGAAACTTTTTTTAGATAAAGTCTGGAATTTTAGAAGTTCATCCATTACAACAGTCACTACACTTTATGAACATTTAAATTGCTTGTAAAGTGTTTTGTGATATTCAGTGCTTCAAACAGGGGCTAAATAAATGTTTAGTTTTTTTGTACAAACCTAGAATACTTTGTAAATGCTTTCCTTTGAAACAAATGAAATGGTGAACTAGGGTTAGAAGGACAGGGTTCTGTTTATCTCTTGGTTATGGAGAAATTTCTGCAGAAATTAGGAAAAATAATAATTTTTGAAATCGGATTGATAAACAATTAATCTACGAACTGAGATCAAGATTGTAACCAAGCTTGAAGTGTGTTGCAGAAAATCAGAGTTTAGCAGGAACAGTCCAGTTTGTTCTTTAGGAAAAATCTTCAGATCACGTCAGAGTTCCAGCTAATATATGCCTCTCCCATCCCTATGCTCAAAACCATTATAAAAAAGTATATTTTTGTTTGCATTCTAAAAATGTGAGAATGGCAAGGGTGTAAATTGCAAATTCTCTCCAGAAAAACTACAAAGACAATTAAGAAGTCAGAAAAACCGTCAGTGGTGTAAAAAAAAGTTGTCTTTCCAGTTATGCAGCTGTCCCTTGTTCAAAAGTCGCTGAATTTTAAAAGGTCCATTTGTATCAGGGAAAAATCAACTGCCAGACGATTCTTAGCAAAAAGAAAAATAAAATCAGTAGACATTGTCTTATGGACAGGTCAACTGGGTTATAATTGAAGATAAAAAGTTATTTGAAATAAGAGTTTTGCCTCTGATTACCCTAGCAACGGAAACAGATTGAAAACTAGATATGCGATAATTGGTATCAAGGCTGGCAAGAAATGTAAGCAAAATAATTATGGATCTAGGCAAGAAAATTGTATAAATACTAATTCTTCTGTATTTTGTTTACTGCTGAAGATTTTCTTCATAATTAGAGGATGCCTGATAGAGGTTCCATGTAATGAACAAAATGATATGGGATCAAATACAACATCTAAGGAAGTCTGAAATAAAAATTGATTCACAAGGTATCTGAATGGATCAACAGCTGCTTTACTGTAGAAAACTCAATTACAAAAAACTAACTGGAATTTGAGATTAGCAGTAATGTGACTTTTCTGTCTTGAAGCTCAGTGATAATTAAAAGTGATGACCACACAGTACAAACTTGTGCTTTGTATGACCAGAGCATTAGTCACGTTGAAGTTCAGAACAGGATAATGAGGGTAAAAAAAAATGTATTGAGCATAATCAATCTGAAAGCAATACAATTATCAGTACAGCTTCTGCAGTTTGTTTTCAATAAATTAGGTTAATCATTCCTAAAAAAGGTACGTAATGATAAATTATGCAAACTTGCTCGTTGTGGGCTTAGCTCTGCAAAGCAGCAATTATGTTCTCACTTGGAGGCACGACTTCATTAGAAGTTCCAGCATTCAGAATATGCAAGTTGCTACAGCATTTGATTGTTTTATTTTCCACAGCACAATTCAAAAAGAACAATTGCACTCCCACAGCACAAAGAATTCAAACAAACTCCCCTAACTTCATAATTCCCAGCAAATCTTGAAAGACTACACAACAGATATTACAGACCATAAAAAGCAAATGTTCCGTCTGTAGTATTAGCATGAAATAGTACTGTCATTTGTAACAACTGCTGTCTTGAAGAATGAGTCATATTCTAGCAATTTTAATTTGATATATTAAAACAAGTAAACCAGGGACTTCTGGATGATCCTTTGAAAATAAATAGCTCCAAGATGAACACTGTGCCCTGCTCATTGGTTTTCTTCACTAGTTATATGGTGTGTTTTTTTTTGGAGGTTGAATTTTCACAAAGATTCTCCAGTATTACAATTCTTACATCATGAGTCAAACAGCAACAACATTTTGTATCTCTAGATACCATCATGCCATAGGAAAAGGTATTTGATCAAATTCTGGTCTCCCTGCTATAGGAAGGATGTTATGAAACTTGAAAGGGTGCAGAAAAGATTTACAAGGATGTCGCCAGGGTTGGAGGGTTTGAGCTATAGGGAGAAGTTGAATAGGCTGAGGCTATTTTCCCTGGAGCGTCGGAGGCTGAGGGTGTGACCTTACAGAGGTTTATAAAACCATGAGGGGAATGCATAGGGTAAATAGACAAGGTCTTCCCCAGGGTGGGGAAGCCCAAAACTGGAGAGCATAGGTTTGAAGGTGACAGAGAAAAGATTTAAAACGGACATTAGGGGCAATTTTTTCCATTCAGAGGGTGGTGCGTGTATGGAATTAGCTGGCACAGGAAGTGGTGGAGGCTGGTACAATTACAACATTTAAAAGGCATCTGGATAGGTACATGAATAGGAAAGGTTTAGAGGGATATGGGTCAAATACTGGCAAATGGGACTAGATTTATTTAGGATATCTGGTCAGCGTGGACGAGTTGGACCGAAGGGTCTGTTTCAGTGCTGTACATCTCTATGACTCTAAGTTTAATTGACATCATGTTCTTGCTGATTTTTGTTCCACATCTACAGATTCAATTCACTCCTCCGTAAATCCATGGGTGAATGTTCTCCCATCAAGAACTCAGCCAGACAACAGCAATTGGAGAGAAAATTGTGCACTGCTTTGCTGGTATGTGGAACACATTTTATTTCTTCAATCCGTGGGGTTTAGTACATTTTATTTTCAGATCAGTCTAGACAAATTTCTCATGTTAACTGTGCATGACTTGATCAATCCTTGATCCAAGCTAGCCGACATCAGTCATACTTGAGTAGAATTTTTGTTCTTTAAACATCGTAACTCAAATGCTTGTTTTTTTGATGTAAATCTGAAAGCAAATAGGATAGGATTACTATCTAATTTTATGATTTGCTCAAAATTTTGGATACAGATCAAGAGTACTGTTCCAATATACGCAAACAAACCATAGAATCATCGAATGATTACAACACAAGAGGCCAATCAGCTGTGTCTATGCTGGCTCTCTGGTGGCTCTCTAGAGGAGCAATTGCTTCAGTGCCATTCCCCTTCATCTTCCCCAGAAGCCCTGCAAATTCAGACAATTATACACTTCTCCTTCGAAAGTCTCATCAGCCCTTCTTCCACCACACTGTTACGCAGTGCACTGCAAATCCCAACCATTTGTTGTATGAAAAAGATTTTCTTTGTCACTAAATCGGTGCACTTAGAGAGAACGCGAAAACAACAGAGACCATAGGAAAGAGCATGAACAAATGAAGGAGAGGAAAAAGAAAAAAGTTATGACCATTTTCTCCCTCACTTTCCTCCGTATTTTTGGATGCATTGCATCCCATTCCAACCCAAATGCTCAAACAGAAGCCTGTCCAAATTTTAGACACTTCAATGTCTGATCTAGCTTCTATACACCATGACCTGGGAAGCTTTACCTTCCTTGGTAAAGGCAGACGCAAAGTATTCATTTTGTAACTCAGCCATGCCTCCTGCCTCCACGCACAAATCGCCCTTCTGTCCCTAATTAGACACCCTGCTCCTCTTACCACATTTTTTTTTGGATTCATTGCATATATAAGCTGCTAGTCTCCTCTTCCCCTCCTTGCTGTTCTAATTTGCTTCTTCACTTGCCTTCTCAAATTTTCTATATAGTGATTGGTTCTTAACCATATTCTCCCATCAGATATCTGTCAGAAGCACCACCATTTCTGATTCATCTCAATTTCTATTTTCATCATCCAGCAAAACTTTGGATATGTTTTTGCTACTTTTCACCTTAGTGGAAATATCTTGACTATACTCAAACTCTCTCTTCTTAAAAAGGCAGCCTATTTTTCAGTTATAATGTTGCCTGCTAAATCTTTAATTTCAATTTATATGGCCCAGATTCACTGAAGTTGGCATTTCCCTAGTTGATAATTCTCATTCTGTATAGTTTCTTGTCATTTTTCCATATCCAGCTTAAACGTTGTGATCAGATTTCTTAAATGTTTCCTTACTAACACTTGACCCACATCGTTCTTCAGAATGACATGGTCCAGCCTGCCTCATTTCTCTGTGGACAGAAACATACTCAGTAGAAAATTCACTTCAGCGCTCTCCTGCCCTTCACACTAATTATCCAAATATCAACCAAGATAAATTCCCCCATTATAACTATAATTGTTTCACTAATTTATTCCTCAACATCTCCCCCACTAGTTCCTATGAATAACGTAATTGCACCTATCCCCTTCTTCTTGGCTTTAGCCAAGGTTCTGCAACCTCCCACTCTCCAGCACTACAATACTCTGCTGAAATCGCTAATGCTTCCCTCCTTATTCACTTTGTACCCAGGAATATTTACAGTAAAGTTGCTACAAGTCAAATTCAGATCAATGGAAAATTCAGTTATGGCAAAGCTGTTAGTATTTGTGTCAGCTGGACAAGAAATCTGATGAGAAAGAAACATCAATTACTCGGGGACTTGGGTTTAAGGTTAAAGGAGATGTGAAAGGCAGGTTTTTTAAAAAACTCAGAGTGGCAAGTGCCTGGAATGTACTGCCAGAGGAGGCGCTGAATGCGGATACAATAGCAACATTTAAGAGGCACCATGACAAATACATGAATAGGCAGGGAATAGAGGGGTACGGATAGCATACAGGCGAAAGGCTTTTGGTTTAGAAAAGCATGTGTCAGCCCAGTCTTGGTGGGCCAAATGGCCTGTTTCTGTGCTGTACTGTTTTTTGTTCCAAAAAGGTACCTGTGAAGTGAAGAACCAGACTAACTGTGGATTAGCCAAATTCATGCATGCTTGTCACAGGACGAGGGGGAATTTAGGACTCGCTAGTGCAGGAAATCACTGACAAGTCTCGAGCGATGGCTGCGAAATAGTCTCTTCATACATTTCAACAGGCACCCACCATTCATGTCTAACACAGCTGAAGCCAGACTATCTTACCATCTTTTTACCAGATCACTGTTTAACATTCAAATCAAAATGTCTAATTGTGGGGAGTGAAACAAGAAACAAGTCACTGCCTGTGGTCTGCACTACCATGGATGCCACTAAAAGCTGCTCTTTTTTGTTATAGGCAAGTCCAAAAAGCCACAATGCTTTGCGAAATGTCAAGACACTACGCACACACTACCAGGCCAACAAAGCCGCCTGGAGGACATTCAGCATTTTTGACGTGCGAATCGGGAAGTGGACAAAATGTACCAAACAGTAGAAACTGAAGACCCTGAAAACTTTTATTGATGTCCACATGTTCACCCTCCTGTTTCCTGAGCTGAAGTCGCAAAGGCTGTAGAGATGCTCTAAGATGTTGCACGCTAACATGGAAACCATGTTTAACTGCATTGACAGTGCTGTGGACCCATCCACAAGTAGCATACTAAGCATTAAAAAAATTAGAGATTACTGAGTGTTTCCAGAGCTAACTATCCAATGTTTTGCAATAGCTTTCGTTGTGCATGTTCAGGTTATTGTAAGATGTGAAGGAAACTGAAAAATAATAATAAATGTGAAAATTGTAATTATGTCACTTTTTATTTTTTGAGAGAGCATGTTGAGGTCAAATTGAGTTATCTTGGGGCTTTCTAAAAGCTCTCTTTAACATGTGCCTCCTGCAATTATACACATCACAATTTTACTGTAATCCCATTCCTTCTCTTCTTTGACCTATGTCTCTTATTGCCACAGCATTATATTCCTCATATGCTACTTGATCTCATTTATCACACACTGCACGTTCATATACATGAACAGTAACCATAATTTAAACTTTAATATTTTACTTTTCCAATAAAAGCCCACTAAATGTTAACATATCCTAATTCAGCACTTTTTTTTTGCTCCTTGGCATCCCTTCTTAGAATTATCTCTTGGTTGCTAATCCCTGCCAAGTTAGTGTTATTAGGGAGAATTTAAATTAACAAAATTGCCCCACAAGGAAATCGGCCCATTATTAATTTATGGGCAACCTGTCTAGGTTCCATCTCTCTGAACCAATCCTAAAGTCGCAAGAACCTACAGCCCTCTCTCCCATATCATCTCTCCTATCATGTGTTCATCTGCTCTATACTATTTCTAGTCATTTGAACATCGTGCTGGGTGTAAATCAGAGACAACTGCTTTTGAGATCACACAGCGTGCAGCTGGAGGAACACAGCAGGCCAGGCAGAATCAGAGGAGCAGGAAAGCTGACGTTTCGGGTCGGGACCCTTCTTCAGAAAATAATGCTGCCTGGCCTGCTGTGTTCCTCCAGCTGCACACTGTGTTATCTCAGACTCCAGCATCGGCAGTTCTTACTACCTGATTTTGAGATCATGCTTGCTGATTTTCTATCCAGCTTCTTAAATTCTGACTTGAAGTCCAAATCTTTTTACCAATATCATTGGTACAGATGTGGGCCACAATAGTTGCTTGTTCACTTCCCATGCACTGTTCAGTGAGAGCTCTCAGCCTGGTTCCATGGAGTAAAAATGCCACATTAGATTCACACCTGCAGCCACAGAAACACCTGCCTTAACCAGCAAATCTAACACTATTGATCTTCGGTCTTCTTGCTGACTTCCCTGACCAGGCGAACCAGTTGTAATGTAACACCCTCAACCATACCTTCATTCACAAGATTAACCATCACATTCATTGGCTTTCAGAACTGAACACTGGTTGAGAGCAGGATGCATGCAGCGTTCTCTTGTGCTACCTGCCTGGTGATTTCCTAATCTTTCTTCTCCTGCATGCTCTTAAAGCTGTGGTGTGACCACATCTACAAATACACCATTCACATAGTTCCCAACCTCATGGAAATGGCTAGCAGCTGGTGTCACTGCAGCAAGTTCTCAAGCCTGGAGCTCGAGATATTGCATTTGAGGAGACTTCCTGCAGATGTGGATATGCAGGACATGAGTCCTGGAGTTCCCATGTGGAATAGGATTACTGCTCCAGGGCTGCAGCTGCACTCCCAGTCCTTTAAAAAGAAAATATTGCAAAGAAAAAAAATTACTGAAGGATAATAACAATTCACCATACACTTTTCCTCGCTCCCCACACCCATTGTACAGGGCGGTTGACCTCATTGTCAAAAAGTTCCTCTTTGATTTTCACTTCCTCAGACTGATTCCTTTAGGCATTGGGGAGGGAAAACCTACACTCACGGCCTGCCTTGCTGCAACATCAGTTTGATGTGCAAGGTTCTCATTCCACAACTAACTTCTCCCTGTCATTTCCTAGTGATCCCGACACTCCGCGCGCTCCCCCTGTCATTTTCCAGTGATCCTGACCCTCCGCGCACTCCTCCCCGTCATTTCCCAGTGATCCCGACCCTCCGCGCGCTCCTCCCCGTCATTTCCTAGTGATCCCGACCCTCACCGCGCTCCTCCCCATCATTTCCCAGTGATCCCGACCCTCCGTGCACTCCTCCATCATTTCCCAGTGATCACGACCCTCACCGCGCTCCTCCCTGTCATTTCCCAGTGATCCTGACCCTCACCACGCTCCTCCCTGTCATTTCCCAGTGATCCCGACCCTCCGCGCACTCCTCCATCATTCCCCAGTGATCCCGACCCTCCGCACACTCCTCCCAGTCATTTCCCAGTGATCTCGACCCTCCGCGCACTCCTCCATCATTTCCCAGTGATCCCCACCCTCCGCATGCTCCTCCCAGTCATTTCCCAGTGATCCCGACCCTCCGTGTGCTCCTCCCCCTCATTTCCCAGTGATCCCGACCCTCCGCACGCTCCTCCCCGTCATTTCC